AAACGGTTTCAATTTGATCTCCCTCAGGTAGCTCCGGTTGGGGCTTTTCCCCAACCTTCTTTCTGAAGTTATAGTCATACTTCATTTGGAGGTTCTGCTTTTTAGGTTCTCCAGGGACAATTGGTATTTCCACAGTTTCTGGTACTGGTTTTAATTCTTTTTTGGGTTTGGCGCTTTTTCTTCTTATTCCTCAGATGGTTTCTGGTTTTTCATCACTTTCAGGCTGTGTCCGCTCAAATTCTTCAAGTTCCAGTTGTACTGGGAATATCTTGAGATTTCAGAGGTTCAATGTCAATTTTCTTCTTTCTTTAAGAGGTTTTGATTTTCTCGGGTTCAGGACCTCAGGTTTGGGTTGGGTTTTTCTGAATTTCTTCCCATCGTCTGGTTTCACCTTGTATTTTCTTCAGCTTAATATCTTGCAAGGATGAGTTCTTCTTGTTTGGGATTTTACCTTTACCGGATCTTCATTTTTCTTTGGTTCCTCTTTCTCGTCTGTAGTCTTCTGAGGTAATTTTATCCCGGTAGGTTTTTCTGCTGTAAATTTCTGCATGCACAGTGGTTTTGTTTCATCAAACATCATTTTTTCTAATTCTTTTCTTCCAAATCTGTTTCAACTTTATCCTTCAATTTCACTTTTCCTCACTTTTTTCTTCTGAATTTTCAAGGCTTCTTCCGGTATTTCTTGAGAGGTATGCCCTTGTCATGATAAAGAGGTTTGATTTTCTCGGGTTCAGGAGCCTCAGGTTTGGGTTTGGGTTTCTGAATTTCTTCCACATCGTCTGGTTTCACCTGTGGTATTTTCTTCAGCTTAATATCTTCAGGATGAGGTTCTTCTTGTTTTGGGATTTTACCTTTACCGATCTTCATTTTCTTTGGTTCCTCTTTCTCCTCTGTAGTCTTCTGAGGAATTTTATCCCAGGTAGGTTTCTCTGTAATTTCTGCATCAAGTGGTTTTGTTTCATCAACAACATCAATTTTTTCTAATTCTTCCAAATCTGTTTCAACTTTATCCTTCAATTTCACTTTCCTCACTTTTTTCTTCTGAATTTTCAAGGCTTCTTCGGTATTTCTTGAGAGTATGCCCTTGTCATGATAAACCTCTAATATTGTAATGATAGGTTTATGTTCTTGAGGAGGATATTCAATAAATTTTATATTACTCTTTAACAAAACCTTAGGAAGAATAACACTCTTAATGTCTTTCTTTTGAGCAACAGGAGCCTTCTTTAACTTAACTTGGGCAAACAGAGGAATGTTTTCTACCGATGCAACATCAACAACTTTCATTTTTGTGGATTTAATTTCTTTTCTTTCAATTTTCATTAATTGAGGGATCACTTTTTTCTTTTCAGATGTCTTTTCAGGTGTCTTTTCAGGTTGTTCTGACTCAATTAAGGGTTTTAATGGTTCTTCACCTGCAACTTCTTTCACTGAAGGTTTCAATACCTTTTTCTTCTTCTTAACAGTTTTCTGAGTGGAAGTATCAGTATCCTTCTGTTCAATGTCCTCTACATCATCCTCTATAACTGATTTCTGTTTTGGCGTTTCTTTTGTTTCATCTTTCTTTTGAGGAACGGTACTCTCTTCTTCACTTGGGATTTCAGTTTTTGGTATCTTTTCATCACCCACTTTTTCACCCACAGATTTAGGAAGTGTGGGAGTTTCTTCTAAGTCAGCTGGTACTTCTGTTTTCTTGTCTGAAACTTTTTCTTTTAACTTCTTTTTCTCTACTTTTGGCTTTCTTCCAGTATCTTCAGTCCCTGTAGGCTCCTTAATAGCTTCCAAAGTATCTTCAGGCGTTACAGGTTTTGTCTTTTTAGTTTTCTTTGGCTTTACACTAGGCTCCTTTGTGTCCTTATCTTCTTCACTTGGAATTTCAGTTTTTGGTATCTCTTCATCCTCTTTCTCTTTTTCACTTTCAGGTTTTGGAAGTGCAGGAGTTTCTTCTAAGTCTACTGGTACATCTGTTTTTTGGTCTAAAACCTTTTCTTTTAACTTCTTTTTCTCTACTTTTGGTTTTCTTTCAGTATCTTCAGACACTGTAGGCTCCTTAATATCTTCTAAACGATCTTCAGGTATTACAGGTTTTGTCTTTTTAATTTTCTTTGGCTTTACACTAGGCTCCTTTACTTCCTCAGAGTCTCTATCCTTTACTGAGATAGATACATCTTCTTCTGGTTCTCTCTTGTCTTCAACTTTTTCTTTGTCAATACCAATTACTTTTTCCTTTTCTTTTTCTGCAGGCTTATCCTTGTCAAACGGTTTCAATTTGATCTCCTCAGGTACCTCCGGTTGGGGTTTCCCAACCTTCTTTCTGATGTTATAGTCATCTTCATTTGGAGATTCCTGCTTTTTAGGTTCTCCAGGGACAATTGGTACTTCCACAGTTTCTGGTACTGGTTTATCTTTTTTGGGTTTGGGCTTTTTCTTCTTATCCTCAGATGGTTTCTGTTTTTCATCACTTTCAGGCTGTGTCCGCTCAAATTCTTCAAGTTCCAGGTCTGTACTGGGAATATCTTGAGATTTCAGAGGTTCGATGTCAATTTTCTTCTTTTCTTTAAGAGGTTTGATTTTCTCGGGTTCAGGAGCCTCAGGTTTGGGTTTGGGTTTCTGAATTTCTTCCACATCATCTGGTTTCACCTGTGGTATTTTCTTCAGCTTAATATCTTCTGGCTGAGGTTCTTCTTGTTTTGGGATTTTACCTTTACCGATTTTCATTTTCTTTGGTTCCTCTTTCTCCTCTGCAGTCTTCTGAGGACCTTTGGGTTTCTGAATTTC